TGCTACTATTATTTCTTTGAGGGTAAGTTAAGGGTAACTTTCAGGGAAGATAATAAAAGATAAGAGGTAAAAGTGTTGATCTATTGTGGTTAAATGATAATTCTAGATTTTAGGTAGTTAAATTTTTGTTCTGAAAACTGTTTTTTACTTTGGAAGTTAAATATCTATGTCCAGTATGGAACTGAATGTAGAAAACTTGGGATGCTGCAATGTTTTCTGCTTTTTGGCATTTTCCAAGTTGTCATTGAACATCTCAAAGATTGCTGAATATCCATAGATTCCTGCTCGCACATGACAACACCAGAAAAGATGGCTTAGAAAGGAGTAAATACTATGGAATGGATTATTTGACATGGTGATATTATGGGAATCAGGTGAAGCTCACTTTGGTCTTGTTTCTCTTATTTGAAATTAAGACATCTGGGCTGTTTTATGTCTGCACTGACCTACTAGCAGAAAATAAATAATTTGAACTGTAATAAGTATGGGGATAATATTTAATGACTTAGGAATTCCATGATATTAACTAGTTTTGGCAACAAGTTCTAAATGAAAAGTAGACTAGGTTCCAAGTGTTTTTTTAAATTTAAAAATGATTAAAATTTAATTTAATGTAGAAATCATATTCTCAGATCAACAAGTTAGTGGGCTTTTTTCTTTCCTTTTTAAAAAGTTGTACAAGCTAAAACGTGTCCCCTTCTTTTTGCTGTTGCTCAAAAGTTGTACAGGCTTACAGCCTCCCTTTACAACCACAGTCATGCTTAATCACATTTTCCTAGAGCAGTGAGGAGTATAGACAGAGATATTAGCCTGGTGCTTGGGAATGACAGAATACCAAACCAAAAAAAAAAAAAAAACCAACAAAAAATCAACTCCTGGTACAGCTCAAGAGAAGATTTTGAAATACACATTAGGGATTTATGAAAGTGAGAGAATTAAGAATATGAATTTCACAGAGCACAAGAAACTTTCAGTGACTCTACTGGGAGGAACACAGCCTCTTAAGAAAGAAGAAATGGGATGTGGGGCTGATTTTTTTCTAGGATTGGAAAACATGTCATCTCTGCCAGATATTGTAGCAGAGACAGATGGCATGGCAGATGCTGTGAAAGAAAAATGACTTACTACTAGGTGAACCAGAAAAAATAAACAAGAAGGACAGAGCAAAACGTACACAAGTTCCCCTCTGCTGTCAGGAATATCTCCCCATAGCCCTAAAATGTGTAACTGTATTCCATGGAGGTGCCAATTGCAAGCAAAGTGTCTCTCACCCTTTTCTCCATTGATTGCACATTTGGAAATTGTAGCCATTCTTTTGAGAGGTCTCACTTTTAGTCGATTGATTTTGTAAGGAAGAAGGGATGGCAACAACTAATTGGATATCTGATGCCAATATATTATAAAGAAGATGCCATAGTTAATTTTTTTTTCTGGCTCCATTGGTTGTTATTCGATATGTAGAAACTGGATGAAACTCATCTTGGTTTATTTTAAAAATGTTCCCAATTAACATTCTTTTATGGTACAAATCATATGAATGCAGTTGAAATTTTAATAACATTTTTAAATGGAAGTTATTTAAAATGTTTCTTAGAGACACTCACTATGGGAACACACATGACCCTTGACATAGGCATGGTTTATGTCTGGAGACTCTCCAGTGTCTCCGGGTTCTTGAACTCTTAGGAGTCAGTGATGGAGAAGAGCTAGTACTGAGGTGGGTTTGGCGCTCTCATTTGGAAGGTGCTCAGGACCCCTGGGTTTACAAAGGTGCCTCAGCAAAAGTATAAGTTAGAGTGTGTTGTGGCCCGATGGAGTTGACAAAGGATAGTGAAACCAATAAAAATGATCTACAAATGCTAAAGGTTTGCGGTTTTAATATATGTAGATTTAGTGAATGAAAATCCAACAATATATGTTTGGCAATCACTGTTGTGTCACTTACATTAAACAGAAACAGAATGCAGTGGAGCCTAAATAGCCAATGCGAGTTGTTGAAACAAGAAAAGTATGTAAATAATATTAAGGATTTTCCTGCCATTACCAAAAAATAAAAATAAAAACAAAACTGGACAACTACCTAGGGATGGTTTCTTTCCCACTATATTTGGAGAAGAAATTGAATAATTAAATCCTATAGAGTAACGTTCACTAACAAAGAATTAATGCAGGATTTTCAAGGGTAATTTGATTATCTATAACATTTACCTTATGTATTGTTTTTAGAAACACTAATAGCCCACCTAAGGTAGACGCCATTGTATATGTTCAACTTTTGTCACACATATGATCTATAAAATCACTAGGAAAGTGAATCTTAACAGGGAATCCAGAAAGAGCTCAGACACCATTAAGCCCCCCCCCCCCATTTTTAGAGGAGTAAATGCACCCAAGTCCACCTGTCAATCCTTGTTTTTTTATTTGTTATTTCTTCTGTTTCCCAGATCAGTACTTGCCCCTGTTACAGTAAAGTAGAAAAGAAAAGAAATTTAGAGTATGTGTTTCCAAAGACGAATATCAAACTCTGGCATTTTACTGGGCCCACCTTGAAACACATGTGTATACTAGGTTTGAGGATAAACATTTTCTTTTCTTTCTTTCTTTTTTTAAATGTACATATGTTTTTATGAGGATAAATATTTTCTAAAAGCTAGGAAGAACTCATATGGAAGCTATTTCAATCTGGAACAAGTCCTGTATGAGGATTGCCTGTGGGCCGTCCCTGCTAAGTCCTCTGAGAAAAATAAGCCTCAAATAGAAGGAATAAGTTTAAATATTTGATGTTTGATAGCAGAGTAGGGTGTGTGGCTATGGTTTTCAAGACAGAAGAGAAGATTTGAAATGTACCCAACATATAGAAAGGATAAATACTTGGGTGATGGATACCCTGAATGCCCTGACTTGATCATTACACATCCTACACTTGTAACAAAATTTCACATGTACCCCATTAATGCATATACTGTAACAACAAAAAGATAAACCTCAGAGCTTGATGGACTTGCTAGCTGTGGGGACTTGAGGGAGAAGGGAGAACAGGCTACCTTCAAGCATAAAGTGTTTGGTTGCTGCTGAGCTACATAATGCCATGTTCCTTGACCTTATCAATAAGTGTCAAATCTCCATTATCTAACAGCCTTCATTATGGTTTTGAACTTGGGCAATGACTCATGATAAAATAGCTTCCTATTCTGTTTTGTGGAATTTTATATAAAAAACTTAGGGAAATGGTTACAAACTGCATCTGGCAGCAGAGATCTTTTTATTTTCTTTAACACTTTGAAGCTCCCTTTTAATAATACATTTCAACACATAATCAGTATCAATATGAGACATTATTACCTTGTTAATATCACATAGTTTAGTCCCTACTTGAGAATTTTCTGCTTCTTCTATAGATACAATGCAAATTATGTTTTCTGTCTATGAAACTCCTATAGTATGTTCCTAATATTAAAAGTAGGGGGTAAGATAGGAAAAAAATTCCTGAAAAATCTCAGGTGTTCTACTATCCTGTACATGGTGTAATTGCAAAGAACATGGTATAATTCCAAAGAGGAAAATAGTCACTAGGCACTTAAAATGTGAAGTAATTTCGGTCTTTCACAGACCCCACTAAATGGCATTTTATTTGACACTTTCAGTGACTAAATAACTTTAGTGCTCTGTTTTTATGTGTCATTGAGAATTGTATGACATCATATTATCCTTCCAATAAATACTTATTGTACTAATAAAATATTTATGATTTGCTTTATCAAACATCTAATTTTTGCTTTGACAAAAATATGTATTTTTATGTCATTTTCATGGGTAACTTCCAACACTGATACTCCTTTATAGTAAACTCCTAGTTTTTCAAGAACCAAGAAAGCAGGAAACTGTAGGAGAAAATTAGATATAATATATATATATATATTTAACATTTCTTTGTACTTAAGAGATAAATGGCAAGGGAAATAATTTCCATACTTTTTTAATGGTTAGAAATGCAACCTAGAAAATTTATAGTACTTCAGTCATTTATACCTTTTATTACTTCTATAATCCTTCTATAAACTTATAGCAAGAATAAATCTTCACAGAACCTGACTTATAAGATCCTGTCCTTTGAATCATCAAGGACAAAGTTACCTTGAGTGTGATTTTATGCGGATTACACTATTCTAATTCTTTGACAACTGGTAATCCATATCAGGTTGTAAAACTCAAATAACCAGAACATTTCTTTTTTCTTCTTTTCCCCAAATATCTTCATTGTCAGCCACCTCAGTTAAGTGATAATCCACATGATTGTAAACTTCAATTAACAGTAACATTCTCTTTCATTTATACTTCCAAACTGTTTTCCTTCTCAAACATCCTATACAGGTTCCAAAAAAAAAAAAAAAATGTAAATTGAAGGAAATCTGTTTTTAGGAACACTCTGAAAGTCTCCACAGGAAGAAGCTTAAACTATGGTCTTCAAAAAGTTGTAATAGGAGGGGGATAAAATGTTGAAGTTCCTTGAGAATCAACAACCAAAATGCAATGGAGTATTATTTTGAAATAGTCGCTCCTATTGAACCTCTGCCCATGGCACCACTTAGCACTCTGCAGGTTGGAAACTAATCAGTCTTGAAGTTATTATAAAATAGAAAGACCCTCAGAGGACTTACTCCAAAATAATGATGGCTGCGTTATAAACTCCCCCTCCAATTAATTTTATTGTTTGGTTTGATGAAATCACAAAAGTGAAATGAACCTGGAAGAAACAAGTACTGTAGCCAGCAAGAGCCACAAACCTAATGCCTTCAGCTGCTTAGAAAAGGAAGATGCGGGATGCAGAGCACTGGCTTTGAGGATAAATATTGAGGCTGGAAGGCATCCATCAGAAAGGATTTTATTTTTCATATGCAATCAGATCAGTCTGAATACATTTCATTTCCTACTGTTAGTGTAAAACATTCTCAAGCTAGAATCAATAATTCTAGAGTCTTTTATTAAATTTCTTCACTCACCTTCCATGGGGGTGTTGCTGTCAGGTCGATTTGCAAAGACCACATCCACATACTCTAGCTGCAGCCTCTGGAGGGAGCCCTTCAATCCTGGGAACAGAAGTAGAAAAAAAAACCAAAAAGTCCAAATATGAGCACTATTAGAAAGAGGTGAAGTTTGGTTTCCTTCTAGAGTTTACTTTTAAAAAAAATACCATTGGATTAGTTTCAAAAATACATTGAATACAATGATGTGTCAATTGACCCCTAGAATCTTTTAAGTATATATCAAAGGCTGATTGCCCTCAACACAACTTTTTCAATGATATTAGCACTCTCACTGGAAAATAATACTTTTAATTATCTTTCACTGTGACTTGTGTGTGGCAATATCCAGAAGTAAAACTTAGCATAAAAAGCAGCTTCTCTTCAAAAGTTTGTTTTTTTCTTCTTGAAGAATGCAAATTAATTGTTTATATTTTGAATTACTTAATGGGCTTATAGTGGACTGAAGATATACTTATTGCACATCAGACCCATTAAAATGGTATAAATCAGAAATAAATGACTGCCTTAACCCCATCTTAATGTAAGTGTTGGTTTTAATAGTATTATAAAGGGGTTAGCAAAGGAAGGCTTTGCTCAATGTTTTACTAATTGGAACAAAGTTTAAGGAACATAAAATATAACTGGGCTCTACGATTTCTATTATCCCCCATTCTTTGGGGAAGAAACAAAAACATCAGAAGCTATAAAGACTTAAGAGGTAATATAAAGGAGAAAGTGAGAACTTAAAAAAAATCTGGAACCAATAGCCTTTGCTTCAGCCCTAATCATTTGGTCACATTCCTGTGAGTACTCAGAAAAAAATAATTAATTTTAGTAAAATTAATACTTCCCTGAAATAGACTGTGTTGTATATAATATTATTCAAGCAAAAGGATGACAGTGTCCAAGAGTCCTTGTATCTCATTTCCATGAGGCACAGCATTTCCTTATCAGCCTCTTTAATTCCTCAGGGAGACCAGAGGCTCTTTTTCCCCTCTTATTATATGCATAAAATTAATTGCATGTTCAATGAGGCTCTTATAAATTTAAATGTGGCTCATTTAAATTTGATTTTTCATACTGGTTTATCAGCCAGCCACAATTAATTTTCTGACAGGAAAATGGAGTGCTTGAATATAGTTCCGGAAATATTTTCCATCCATTGAGAAAGGATTGTCTGTGGTGGTAGCTTGTTAAAAGCTTTGATGAAGAGATTAGGGCAGACAGGTGTTATGAGGTTATCTCGAGGGGCAGCTTGAAATTAAATTTACCTTGAAAAGTACCATGGTGTGAGCCAATTTCTGGAACAATTGTATGTAGGGAGGAGGTAAGGAGAGGACAGGATAAGCAAGCAAGCAAATAACAGGGAATGGCCAGGTCGCAAGGTTCAGCAATCTGCACACTAGCATGCTTGTGATCCCACCTGGCTTCTTTGTCCTTTTTTGGTGACTCAGTTCTCTAATCTGCAGTGGGGCTAAAACATTTACCACCTTCAGAATTGCTGCTCTAGAGAGCGCTGCATAAGAGAGTCTATGGCAATGTAATGTGGTAATTATATTGTGGTGTTAACATTTGGAAAGTTTCAGAGGGAGAGAGTCAAAGAGTAAATGATCAACATTTTTATTAGACTCCTGGTTTTGGAGGGAGGCACTTAATGAACATTCTAGCCCGTGCCTGGCACTGGAAACAAGGGGTGTCCTTTCTTCTGATGAAGGCCCCCTCCCACCGAGCCTCTTCCAACAGCTCAGTGTGGGCTGAAAGTAACTAGGGGAAGCAGCTATGACTAACTTGGTACTATTGTAACTGTGTGATCAGCCTTTTCACAGCCTAGGCATGACTTCAGTCATTTACTCTTCCATGCCACTAGCATGTGCTGAGTCCCAGTTTGATCCTGAAACTGAGCCAGACTCTGGGGGTTTGAAGATGCACAGACACAATCATCATCCCCAGAGAGCTCACAGTGTATATTGAGAGCATTAATTGGCACAGATGTATTGTTCAAGGTCATAATGTGTACCCATAAATAATGACATGGGGCTGGACGTGGTGGCTCACAGCTTTAATTCTAGCATTTTAGAAGGCTGAGGTGGGAGGATTGTTTGAGGTGGGAGGATTGTTTGAGGCCAGGAATTCAAGACCAGCATAGTCAACACAGCAAGAGCCCATCTACAAAAAATACAAAAATTAGCCTGGCAATGGTGCTTTTTGGCTGTAGTCCAGTTGCAGCTACTTGGGAGGCTGAGGCAGGAGGATCACTTGAGCCCCGGAATTTGAGGCTGCAGTGAGCTATGGTGATGCTACTACACTCTAGTCCAGGCAACAGAGTGAGACCCTGTCTCTGGGGGAAAAAATGACATGGACTTGGAACAAAGGTCAGTCTCATTGTATAATATTTGGTTATTCCTCACCTCTCAAATCTTTATTTGTGTAGTGTTCTTTCTTGATATTTGGGCAGAAAATCAAGTGTACTAGGCCAGTGATTCCTACTCTGACTTTGAAGTAGAGTGAAAAGAGATTGTCCCTGTAAGGCACACTATCCACTCACAATCTCAATCACAGAAAGTCTTTGAAATCTCAATCACAGAAAGTCTTGTGATCCATGGTATGAATTTTGGATTCTAGGTGAGATTTTAAGCCATTGGCAGGGGGTTGGGGGTGGGTAGTAAAGAGGAGGGAATTAAGCAGGTGAAATAATATGATCAGATTTCCATTTTGAACTGATGGCTTTGCCTGCTGAGAATGACCTGAAGGGGTGAGAATGAGAGCAGGGATGGGGACCAGTGAGGAGGCTATGGCAGTCAGTCAAATTCGGACAAAGTTGGTAAGAAGTGAGCAAATTCAGGACAAGTTGTGTAAGTGGAAATAATTGGACTTGGTGATGTGCTGGATGTATAGGGTGTAGAGGTTAGAGTAATCAAGGATGACTCCTAGATTTTTGACCTAAAAAGTGAGGTGACTGTTACGAAGATAGGGGAATCAGGGAAAAAACAGGTGAGGGTAGGTGGAGCCAAGTCCAAAGGCAAGTCCAAGAGGCACATCAGTCCCCACATGGAGCTCTTGGCAGCTGGATGGACCAGGCTGGCACTCAGAGGAGGTGAGGGACAGGGTTATAGATTCTGGCTAGCCTGAATGACCTTGTGATGTCTTTTAGCCTCTCAGAGCCTCAGTTTCCTCACCTGTCCAAAGACAAAATGGAGCCAGATGATCTTCCTGCTTTGATGTTTCATGTGACTGCAAACCAAACCAGGAATTTTGGCCTTTTTCTATCTGGATGCTTTAATCTTGTAGAAGTAGGTAAGTCATAGCAATATTAAGTCATCCTCAACAAACGTCTCCTTAAGAGCCGCCATTTAGTGTTGTTTAGCTCCAACAAATCAGTAGTCCTATTCTATCTCCATTTAGCAAATGGAGATTTGCTATGGTTTGTTGAGCACTGGCTTGGGGCCAGATATTATTTTCTATTGAAGTAGACATGCAAAAATGCATTAACCTTGGACCCAAAGGGGCAGCTGGGCAGCTAATCATACCCATAGAGGTAAGTGCTCCAGTGCAGCGAATGCTCTTGTTGAAGGCAATTTGACATTAGCCTGTCCCTTGGCAGTAACCTGGTGTCTGTGGGAGCTGGATACAAGAAGGAGAAACACTCCCTGCCCTTGAGGACATATCTAGAAGTTAGCTGGCAGTTCCTCAAAAGTCTACAGGATAATAAATTACTTAAAGAAAATCGCTTTCAAGTGACTACAGTAAAAGGAAATCTAAGTCCACCTTTCTTTTTAGGTTCTGAAGTTTAACAGGAACCATATTGTTTAGAAGGTTAACCTTAATTCAACTTAAGCCTATTTCACAGGTTTCTAAGGAAATATGCTTAATGCCAGACGGTAAGCAGATTGGCATGGTCAGAAGTGGATTGGGTGTTCAGCATTGCCTTTAACTGCGTAGAAACAAGGAAATCAGTGGCTTCGAGATTCTGCAAGCAGTCTACTTAAACATGCTGTGTCGTCACCTTTTACCCCTCACATGCACTTGCTTTTCTATCTAGCTTGCAAAAAACATGTGCCTTAAATAATGCACAGTTTCCGTATATAATTTCTGGTTTCTTCTCAGCAGACCTCTCGTTCATAATAATTTAAGTCACATTTGCTGCTTTTTAAAAACGCTGTGCTGTATTAGAACATATTCCGTATGGGGCTCTGCCTCCTATTATGAAACATGGTTGTCCTGGGTGGGTGATGTAAGTTTACATGAACATGGTACAATAGAAAGTGGTACCATGTTTCTGTGGTACATCATTTGTTCAGAAATTTATTCTTTAATTAAAAAATCATTAATTATCTTTTTCTTCTAAAGTTCAGAAAGTAGGTTTTAACATTTGTTTCTAATTCAAAATTTTCAAGCAGAGCTTTCTCAGATTGTTTTTCTTTCCTACTCCTAAAACAATGGCAGTGAATTCGTGTTTTGCATCACATAAGAACACTTGTTTATCTGCAAGGCAAATGCAGACTTAGACACAGCTTTTCATTGTATAAGTACACAAATTATTTACTTATTCTTACAAGATAACATACCAAACTATTTTTATTCCTTTACATAAAGCAGTAAAGGAATTTGATCTGGTAAATTCTAACATTGGCTCAAATTGGGGCTTAATGAATGTTTGTGGAATGGCTAAATGAATAAATTGAATTTTACAGCCTGAGAGGAACTTGGGATTCTATATGAGTGTAATAAATCTATTAGTGAATTTTCTTTTCCCTCCTTGTGAATCTAAGGAGAGCAATATACTTAATTGAATCTAAGTCAAGAACTTGAGGCTTATCAGAAAGGCCTTACATGTGAAGTTTTTAAAAAACTACATTATGCAGAAGTCAAGCTGGTTTTACACTCTTTAAAGCAACTTAAGTGGCCAAGGACATCAGCACACAAGTGGCCTGAATGCTACATCAATTTGGACTTCTGTCTTATCCTCCAACAGCGCTTCTCAAATTTGATGTGCACATGAATCTCCAATATTGAATAAGGTCACCTTCATCACAGAACAAATATTAATGAATCTCAAGGATAGTGATTTGTAAACTTCTCTAAATTCTATTTTGGATCTCATCTCATGTCCCTCCTTTTCTGCAAAATCCACTCAATTCCCTGATTGAGTGCCTAGAAACACCCTTTGAGCTGACTGTCTTGTCCTTACCAGGGTTTATTTTTTGTTAAAACTATGGACTGCAAAATAACAACAGCAATGATGACATAATAATAAATTATCCCAATTGTTCAATCTCAAAGGTTTGAAATTTTGTGCTGAAGTTTGAATCTGGGTCAGCTTGAATTTCAGCTGAACTGGTTTATCCATCCTGAGAGATTAGTTCCTAAGAGAATTTCTAACTTCTTTAAAGGAAGAGGGAATGTAAGGTATTTCTATTATGTTGTATGAGGCCTGAAGAAAGCTGATTAAAAAAAGACAGAATTCTGAAATTATGCACACACCGGTCAATATCAAAGCCATGGAGATTCAATAAAGAGTATAGTAGCAGACTGTTTCCCTTATTTTTCTCTTGGGTCTTATATTTCTTTGTTGATTGTTATTTTCTGAATCTCTATTGTCTAATCAACTAGATTAAAAAGTAAAGGGGAAAAAAATTTTCAGGCAGCATACTGCTGTCCTCTTCATTCAGCTTGATACTATAAGCCAACTTGGGTTGTCGCTGACGATCCCTGTGGTAGAGGACCCAAGTCACAGGGGCCAAATGCTAGAGCAGGAATGGTAACAGTTTTGAGCGGCAGGTTGGGTTTGACCTTGCAATCCCAAATAGGACAATAAGGCCTGAGAAGAGATGCTGTTTGGGTGAGGAGTTGGGAAGCTTTCTCTAGGCTAGAAGGTTGTCATTCATTGTGGCAGCCTCAGGCTGTCACCTACTCACTCAGTAGAGTGTCCTTATCCATAGAATGAAGACTACTTCATTGCAGTTGTACTTATAAGAACAATGATGATGATGACAATGATATTTATTAAGTCCTTATTATGTGACAGACCCTGTGCTCAATGTGAATTATATAATTTCAATCCCATGTAGTAAGTCTATGAGATAAGAATATTTAGGCCGGGTGTGGTGGCTCACGCCTGTAATCCTAGCACTCTGGCAGGCCAAGGCAGGCGGATTGTTGGAGCTCAGGAGTTCGAGATCTGCTTGAGCAAGAGCAAGACCCTGTCTCTACTAAAAAAATAGAAAGAAATTAGCTGGACAACTAATAATATATAGAAAAATTATCCGGGCATGGTGGCGCATGCCTGCAGTCCCAGCTACTTGGGAGGCTGAGGCAGGAGGATTGCGTGAGCCCAGGAGTTTGAGTTTGCTGTGAGCTAGGCTGATGCCACAGCACTCTGGCCCGGGTAACAGAGTGAGACTCTGTCTCAAAAAAAAAAAAAAAAAAAAATTTATAGTCTATTTTACAGTCAGGGAGGCAGAGGATAAATAGGTTAAGTAACTTGTACAAAGTCACCCAGCTCATAAATGGCAGAGTTGGAGCTTGAACAAAGATCTGTCTGATTTCAAAGCCCATATACCTACAAATATATTAAAAATCAGTTAGTGAGAAATACCAAACTCATATAAGAACTTTGAAAACAATGGAATGATATGATTATTATTATGTACATATATATATGTACTATGTATATATAGTTGTGTGTGCATCTATGTATTTTACATATATTCTAAGATCTGGCTTCAAAAGTCTCCATTTTAAATTAAATGATTGTGATCAAATACTGGAACTATTTTTTTTCTACTGCACGTCTAAGATATCTGAAAGTAATCCTGTTTATAGGTCAATAAAGATCTTCAACTTCCAAACTGGAATGAATATTCTCAAATTTAACATTATCTTTTAGATTAGATTCATGGAGAGAAAAAAGTTTATAATGAAATAATGGCCTGGCAGAAAATATTTGCAACACAGATAAACAACAAAGAGTGAATATTAATAATATACACATAATTTACTCCTGCAAACTATGACGGCCAAGACAACTCAAAAGAAAAATAGCTTAAGAACATGAAGAGTTAATTCCCATAAAACAGAAGTACAAATTTACTAAAAGAAGCTCAAACTGACTAAAAAAGCCCAGTTCATCTAACAGATTAGTATAATTCTTTTTAGAAAATAATTTTGTGTTAAAATATGTAAAATTCTTTGACTTAACAATGCCACTTCTAGAATCTATCCTATTTACATAAGGATGGTCACTTGCATAATTGTTTATAATGCCAAAAACTGAAAATAACCCATAAGTTGTGTGTGTAAAATGTATTTTAATTGGGGAAAAAAAGCAAGGGTTAGGTTAATATTTATAGCCTGATTCCATTGATTTAATACATACATTTTCATATTTTAAGTATTAATATAAGTGAGTATTCAGATGGATTGGTGGATCCATCAATCCTGCATGGAAAAGGTGGGAAGGATGCACATCAGGTTGCCCGACTGTGGGATGAGATGAGATTGGATGAGCAAAAGGAGACTTTACTCCTTTATTGTTATTTATTTATTTAATTAATTTTTTTTTTTAGATTCCGGTGCTAAGCAGAGATATTTTTATTTTTAAAGTGGTAAGATTAAAATACATTTTATATTTTTGGTGATATTGGTATTTCATAAATAAAATTATTTTTTAAAAAGGAGAAAATTACCTGTCTCAATAATCAGTCATCAATTTAAAGTGGCAAAAATGTTGGATTTTTGTGAAATGCAGATGGTGCACAACTTACGATGGTTTGACTTGATGATTTTTTCGACTTTATGATAGTGCAAAAGCAATTTGTATTCAGTAGAAACTATATTTTAAGTTCCCATACCAATTATTCTGTTTTTCACTTTCAGAATGGTGTTCAATAAATTACATATGATATTCAACACTTTATTGTAAAATAGGCCTCGGGTTAGATGATTTTGCTTAACTGTCGGCTAATGTAAGTGTTCTGGGCATGTTTAAGGTAGGCTAGGCAAAGCTATGATATTTGGTAGGTTAGGTGTACTAAATGCATTTTTAATTTATGACATTTTCAATTTATGATGAGTTTATTGAGACATAATGCCATCAAAAGTTGAGAAGCACCTGTATTTTACAAAGTAGTAGGAAGATGTTGGAATTATATGGCAGTACCTTTTAACATTTTTCCTTTATTGCAAAATGTATAAGTGTGAAATTGTATAAAGACAAGCAAGATATAAATAAAATTATAGTCCTCACAACGAAGTAGAGTAGTAGTACTCTATTACATAGTGGTTCTTGTAGACTATTTTATTTCCTGTTTATTTCTAGCCTATACAAAGTTTTGAATACCATTTCAAAAGCAATAACACTGTAAATTAATTACCCAGTGGTAATTTTCTACAAATTTTTTTCTATGCATATGTATATACTTTTAAAAAAATGTATAGTGGTCTCAATATATGTTTATATAAGAACTTGTACATAAATGTTCATAGCAGCATTATTCATAATAGCCAAACAGTGAAAATAACCCAAATATACATTAACTGATAAATGGATAGACAAAATGCAGTTCATCCATATAGTGGAATATTACTTGACAAAAAAGGGAATAAAGTACTGGCATAACATGAATGAACATTATGCTAAGTGGAAGAAGCCAGTCACAAAATATCATATATTACAGGATTTCATTTATATGAAATGTCCAGAATTGTCAAATCTATAGAAACAAAAAGTAGATTTGTGGTTGCTTGGGGCTGTGGGAGGGGTTGAGGAGAAAATGACTTCTAGTGGGTACAAGGTTTCTTTACGGGGTGACAAAAATGTTTCAACATTGGATTATGGTGATTGGTGCACAAGTCTGTAATTATGCTGAGAACCAATGAATTGTGCACTTTGAATGGGTAAGCTTTTATGGTATGTGCATTATCTCTCAATAAAGCTCTTTTAAAAAGTCTTATGGAAGTGTTTCATTAATATTAGTAGTAGCTATATTAATAGTAGCTATATTAATATTAGTAGTAGCTATAAATGAGAACAGTTCCAGACAATGGAACTGTTGGCCTTTTTGTTTTGAGTTTCCATTCTCACCTCTACACCTCTGAGTTTCTTACACACTTAACCCCAGGAACAAGCGTGGTTGTTTGTGGTTCTTTCCATACAGATTTTTTTCCCCCTTCCAATGTGTTTTGAACCTTTCTTGAACCACGAACCCACAAACAAAAACAAAATCAAAGCAGCAGTACCCACCTTCAATGATATGCTTTCTTGACAGCCCTCTCTCCGTTTCAGCTCTGCCAAGAAAAAGAGCAAACGACTTTGAGTGGGGGTGTGCTTTGTTTTTTAAAAACCTCTGTTTCAAAAGGGCAAAAGAATAATCATTCTTACTTAGGCTGAGTTGCTAATTTTATACCCTGTTTGCAGCAAATTCTGCACCACTGGAGGCTGAGGAGAGAAGGCTGGTGGGCAGCACACAAAGCCCCTTTTCTTTGAAGACCCAGGAGATGGATTAAGCATGGCTGTCACCACAACAGTAATACTGCTCAGCACCAGCTCATGTTAGTGACAACTCAGCCACACACACCCTGTCCATATATAATTTGAGACACTGTTCAACCTTCTCACCTTGTTCTTAGCCAAAAAAAAAAAAAAAAAAAGAGTTGACATAGGTTTGTGAGTTTACTGTAAGATTGCCAGGATGCTGATATCATTACCTTTTCTGAGAAAGGAAGCAAATTTGGAAGTTCCTTTAAACTTCTAAAAGAAATTTAATGGCTATTTTCCTTCAAAATGTGATGAACCAAGTCATCCCTAAATTAGTATCCTAAGAAGACAGAACCTTAATCATAAGGACTTTTGTCTTCCTGGACAATTCTCAAGCTCTGGCCAATTAAAAAGAAATAGGTTCCTTGAATTTAAAAGTGTCAATAAAATGTTTCTTCAACATCAGTACATTTGGCCTCTTCTTTAAAAATATAGTAGTTTACCATTCACCTTTGAATGTATCTTTATTTTTTATCTTTTATAAGCATATTAGATAATATTGTATTAGTATTGTATAGTATTACTATACTATAGAATGGTTCTTACAGACTGTCTCATTTCCTGCTTTTCTCTGAAGTATAGGCATCATTTTGTGCACCACTGCAAAAGCACCAAGCAATGGTATTGTGAATCAAAATACAGTCAATGGAAATTCTCATTTCTCATAGGCACCATGTTGCTTTTTGTATGGATTACCATAGGAATAGCAACCTAAAGTCCATCTTCTGTCTTCATATCATCATAAACAGACTCAAAAGCAACAAAATGTTAGTGTGTTTGTTTGCATGTGTGTGTAAGTATACACACATACTTTTTTTTTTTTTTTTTTTTTTTTACATAGAGTCTCACTCTGTTGCCCGGGCTAGAGTGCCGTGGTGTCAGCCTAGCTCACAGCAACCTCAAACTCCTGGGCTTAAGCAATCCTCCTGCCTCAGCCTCCTTAGTAGCTGAGACTACAGGCATGCGTCACCAAGCCTGGCTAATTTTTTCTATATACTTTTAGTTGGCCAATTAATTTCTTTCTATTTGTAGTAGAGACAGGCTTGGCTTCCCAGAGTGCTAGGATTACAGGCATGAGCCACCGCGCCTGGCCACACACATACAGTTTGATTAGAAGGTTCCTAAAGAAGAGTTGGCTTCTGCCCGTAATTTAAAACAAACAAACAAAAAAACTATTTCCTATTAATTATAGGGAGGTAAATAAGGTTTTGTTTGTTTGTTTTTGTTTTTTGTTAAGGCTTCAGCATTCTTCAAGAGTTCCATCTCAAAGATGGAAAATCACAGTGCCAACAAATGCTCTGGTATATGGAATAGCTTGCTGTTTTCTTCCATGTTTGTCAAAAAGGCTAGCCTTCTAAGTCCCGCTGAATAATGTAAGTAGCAGTTCAAACGCCAGCAGGCCCATAAGAAGCCAATTCATCCTGTGAAATTTGTTCTGCATCCCACAAGAGAGAGCACCTCTCTTTCATTTGGCCTGACAGTGAGTGGTGTAGGTAGCTCCGTGTTATTCTCCAATGAGATGGTCCTTTTGATCAGCATTTTCAGAGCCCTCTGCAGAAATGATCAGAGACTTACACAAGGAGCCAGACAAGATATTTTTATCTTTGCATTCTGTAGAAGTCTCTGAGTTTTGGCAGATTCAAGTAGCTTTTCTTATGTGATGCTTTGTGCTTATTTTCCTTTCCTGAAATTTGAACTCTATTTTGGAAATGATTCTAAGTATGAGATTGGTATTTGAAAAATCTCCATGAATCACTTAGTAACAAGTGACCACATGCTTTGCACTAAATTTCTTTCAAAGTATCTTGCTAAAATTGAATCCTAGGCTAATTGCTATTTCCTTAGCATGAGAAAAAAAAAAAATCCCCCTCTCTAAGCCAATTAGCTTTAGTATGCTAGAGGTAAAATAGTTGCCTAAAAGCATAAAAGCATGAACTACTAGTTGTTTCCTGTTTAGTAGGAGAAATAAAAGGTATTTAACTTACTTTCCGCCCCAGTAGAGTTTGGTTGTTATGACCAGGCTGGACCTCCTGTATATCAAACAGACAATCACAGAGAAAATAAATAAATTGAAGGTTATGGTAATGAGCCATTTATTATCATAGCACCACAAAGAGTTTATCGTACCCCACATGTTAAAAAATTGGTAAAGAGATAAATTTGTTAATTCATGTCACTGAAATGTAAGAACGTAAGGAAGCTGGTGAGTAGGAACCTGAAGTCAGGTCCTAGAGGACGGAGTTGAAGGGAGATGATCTCTGCCTAGAGAGGCTGGAGGATGAGAAGCACAGTGACAGCAAGCCCAGGACGGCGGCCACGTGGAGGTGAATGGTGGGTGAGCACAGAGGGTCAGAAATGGCACACGGGAGTGGAAGTGAGAGGACTCAAAGGATGGATTGCTTTAGTGGCTTAAGAGAACAAATACCAATGAGCATTTGTTCAGCATCTGGCCTAACGCTGACTGTGCGCGAACTTCTCCTGGAAGGAAGGCCACTCCCTGCCAAGGACCCTGGCCCCTTGTGGCTCTGAGTTATCCCCTTCAACCATCATATTCGCAGGCAGGAACTGACTACCTAGAAATATGAATGATGAAGTAAATTGTATTAATCAATACATATGGAAAATAAAGAGGAAAAAAATTTCTTTGCGTGTCTTATTAAATGGAAATGCTTTTTTAGGAAAACAGTCCTAAAATCCTAATTCAAGCTTCTACTTCTTCACTTCTGAGGGACTGAAATGTGGACATCTTGTCAGCAAACTTATGGGAAATGAAATTGTAGCATTATGACCATAGAATAAGAAAAAAGTCTTGAGAACTACAGGCGTATAATTTAAAATTGAGAGGCATATCTCAGTGTGATTTAGTTTCCTTAGGTATGTAACTTGATTAAACTGGTCTGGAAAAATTTTATCTGAGATTCAAAGGTTAAGTTCAAACTTCAGCAGTATTTGAAATAAGGCATTTATAATTCCATCAGCTATAGAGTCAATGCCTTGGGGCTCTCAGGTATAAAAGCCTAGCATGATTAATGGTAGCCAATGGGGAATGATGGTGACAATTCCGACAACTTGGTTGCAACAAGAAAAATTTGTTGAAAATGCCAGCAGCCCCATCCCACCAAAGTTAATTCCCTGAAAAGTAATTTGAATCGCTGTAATGGAAGGTCTATAGATATAGGTACCTGGAGATTACATACTCCAAAAGGGCTGATGTACTTTCCAGGTTAATACATCAACCTCATGATACCTATTGTAATAGCAATCTGCCACAGGGGAGCCTCAGGTCTCCTTTTGCAACCATTTTCAACCTTCAACAGGAAGCTGGATGGAATATTGTAAAAAATGAATGTAGCCTCTTTGATTATTCAGAGCAGTTAGTCCTGCCAAAGCTGCACATTCTACCCAAACACCACCACAGACTTATTTTTTCAAAGGTAGGCTTATTGTAAAATGTTTGTCCTATATGGGTGTGTGCAATAACATTTATGTTCAAATAGCAAGAGTAGACAGCAGCCTGGAAAATTATCACTGACTCCCACAGAGGCTCTTAAGAGTGGGTAGAGAATGATAATGTGAGTATTTTACAATGATACAGCACAGCCTCCAAAATACCTTTGCACATCTTATCTCACGTTGTCAGCATGACACTTCATGAACAGTTATGCCATCCATTTCGTAGGTGGGGGCAACTGAGAATCAGAGAAGTGAAGTAACTTGCCCTGGATAACACAGCTACCAAGTGGTAGCACCAGGACTAGAAGCCAAGTGTACTCACTGAAATAGCTTTAATAGGATCAGTGCTACAATGATATGGTTTATCTTTTCACAGTCTTATGGGAGCAACTGTGAACTGATGTAAACACTCTGTAGTATGGTGATAGCTTGAGCTTTTATTTGCAAGACTGACAGGCTCATGGAATATGCATGTTAATCTATTTTCTACAAAAGGTATATGTAATAGATTTTATAGCTACGGAGAGTGATGATTTAATATTCTCTGGGTATTCAGGAGCAAAGTGCTGCTGCACCAGCGCTGCCCCTTCTCCCATAGGTGATTTCTAGCAGCCTGCACCTCGCCACAGACCTCACTGTACGATCAGTGGGCTTATATCCAAGGTTTCTGTTGCAGTGGAATTGTGTCTCCCAAAAGATATGTTTTAACTAACCTCCAGAACCTAAGAAAGTGAGCTTATTTGGAAATAGCATCCTTGCAGACATAATTAGTTAAGATGAGATCATATTGGAGTGGGGTGGGTCTCTAATCCAATATGTCTAGTGTCCTTATAAGAAGACACACAGACGCACAAGGGGAGAAGACCATGGAATGGCTGAGGCAGGGCTGAAGTGCTGCGGCTGTAAGCGAAGAAACGCCAAGGATTGCTGGCAACCACCAGAAGCTAGGAAGAATTTTATGCGGAGTTTAGAAGGAGCAGGGCTCTGCCAACACCTTGAGTTTGGACTTCTGGCCTCTAGAACTTTGCAAGAATAATTTCTGTTGTATTAAGCCACCCAGTTTGTGGCACTTTGTTGCAGCAGCCTTAGGAAACTGAAGTGGCCTCTATTTAGGCGATGATGGATGAGCCAACATGCTGAGTGGGAAAGTAACTCAGGCAAGGTGAAGAACTAACTGGGTGGGAACATGAATAGTTTCCAATGTTTAAGGGGGAATATAATTTTCTATTAACATCCTGACAGTTCCGTGGGGTAGGGGAGGAGGCGAAGGGAGAGGGAGAAAGTAGGTCACCAAACTTTATTTGTTCATTTTGCCATAAATGTCTGGTTTTCCTTTGCCATAAGGCCCTCTATTCCTACCAAAAGTTTATCTCAGAGTGAAGCATAAACAGTGCTAAGCATATATGGAGCTCTGTTCCACCCTTCTAGATTCCCCTTCCAGAGGGAGTTTAAATTATGTGTGCAAAAGCATCATTAAACCACTCTTGAGCTGTGCTCTTTGACAATGTCCATCTTTCCTAGACTAAATTTTAGAAATTACATGCTAAGTGTCTATGCATGAGTACAAAGCTCTTTGCACAGCCGTCTTCACTAATTCTATAGCACTGTTATTTATTTGGCAATCAGCAGATATTATGCCAGAGCAGAGGAGGACTCTAAACTTGTCCAGTGATCTTTGCTGGGCTTTGTCTCATTCTGTGCTCGTGCTGGGGAAGCAGCGCTGTAGTGGCTGACGTCCCGAGTGAAACTCGGTGGGGTTGCCTCCCACCCCAGCGCAGATGCTACGGCTTCCTTATTGTACCTCTGGCTTGGGCTACAGAAGGCAATGGGGTGAGATGCGCAAGCACAGCCCCCTTTGTTTCTTGGAGGGACCCCTCAAGGATAGCAGATGAAGCACTTTCCTGAATAGCCAGCTAATAGGGCTCCTGAGCACACAGGAGAGGCAATTATCTTAATTGTGCTCAGATGAGAAAGCTTTGGGATATTTATCCCAAGGGCTTCTTGTTTCATCATTTCTTTGTATCCAGAGTTGTTAATAAGATGAAGAGGAAGCATAAATACGTGCATATAGATAATCAGCTTCCTGTCAGCTCGCTGCCTTCACCAGATTACCACAAACGGCAGTCAGAAGCCATGAAAATGTCACTTTGTTTTATGCACAAATATCTCATGAACATTCCCTCCTTCACTGCTCAGCGCCATGGTAATTCATTGTGATCAGTGACTAGTCAATAATTTTTCAAGCACGAGTAATGAACTCGCTGGCATTTATTTTCAAGCCACTGTAAATCATTTCTTTACCAAGAATTGCATTTTTTTTACAGTCTTTTGGTCAGGTGTCATATGATTTTATTTACCCTTCTCTGGTGCAAATATTAAGTCTTCTAAAAGGTAAGCAAACAGTTATGGTAAATGCAGTACCTCCAGCCCTTCTTCTTGATGATGCTGCCCAGAATCACTTCAGCCCTGGAGGGGAAACAGACAACATCTTAGGATACAGTGCCTTGGAAAAGCAAGAGTCAATCCAAAATACCAGAGCCACTCCTTGTTTGAACTCGCAGTGCCTACATAGCCCCAAAATAGAAGCCGCTCTCGGCTGGTAGCACAGTTTCCGCTGTTTCTGCTTGTGCCTGCAGAATCCTGCTCCGGAGCATTCCAGAAGCACCTGCCAAGTCCTGACACACTGGCAGGAGACCACTGCAGTCCTGACGCTAAGAGACAGCAGAGTCATTTGGCAGTTCAGCATTTCTGAAGCACTGATCCCATACAGTAATATAAATATCCTGCTAGTTGGTGTCCAATGGGAGTCAACATTTTTGTTCTGATTGCCGTGGAGCAGTTCAGCTGTGATGGGGGGGGGGCTATGAGATCTCACACTGTTTAGACAGAAAATATTGATTCCTGGGTGATCTTGAACCCATGTGTGAGTTTAGATGTCCCAAAGGCCAGGGCTGTAGAGGGAGTGGCCCCCAGAGAGAATGTCCTGGGTTCCAGTGACAAACTTTGTCATTGAAGCAAGATAGAAGGAGATATAAGGAAGTGTCCCTCCTTCCCCTAAGGCTGGGCCATGGTGGGGTGTACTGAAGACATCCACTGTCCTCTCCCCTTCACCTACGCCACCTGGGACCTGAGAATGAGGAAGCAAAAGTGTTCTTCTGTGTCCTTCTTAGTAAGACCAGCATTGTGAGAAGCAGCTGGGCTCTCACAGGCTTTGTGAACTGGCGCTTTGTCCATCAGGGTCTTGTAGGTGGGAGTTATCACAAGTGGTTATTGATCTTAACTGACAGTTCTTTGTCAGAGTGTACAGCCTGCAGTGAGCCATGATGCAGGGCAGCTGTGCAGTATGCCCCAAATAGGCAGCGGGTGTGACATTAGTGTTCTTTTTGCTTTTCCCTGTCCCTCTGTTGCCTTTGCAACCTTGCATTTCACAATGGGAACATTTCAACTACACACTGACAATCAATCAATAATTAACCAGACAACTATCCTTCACAGTAGGAATGCAAACAGGACTCTAACAGACTTGGTACTCACTCCTCCCTTTTTCTCCCCTAGCCCCATTTGGTACTAAGCAGGGAAGGGGTAGGAGGTAGAAAAGAGCAAAGCTGTACAACTTTTACTCTCTGTCCTTGGATTCAACAGAAAGCATCAGAGATGTGCACCCTAAACCTCCTTGATGGTTCTTAAATGCAGACCCGTTCTGCAAAAGCAGGAAACCCATGCAAGGCAAATGCACTTAGGTAGACCATTTGATGATCAACCTGATTCAGCAGGCCTAGCAGTTTGATTGTAATTTTCACCTGGAAGAAGATGAATTAGTCCTACAAGTGATTGTGCTCCACAGTCCTGTTAGAAAATTTTAGAGCTGCTCAAACAGCTAGGCAGCAATTTAGTTTCTTTGGTTCTGGGAGTAGAACATTCATGTTCACAGTAGGAGGCCAGGGAGCCCAAGATCTACTCTAAAATGTGCTGATTATGTTGGGATCAGGATAGCGTGGACCTTGAGGTCCATTGGCCAGGGTAACGCCCTGTCCTAGAGCTGCAAAGCTGCTCTCGGGTCCAAGAGAATGCTTGCAGCTAGATGTGACTCCTCACGCAGAAGTGAGGACTCTTTGCAGCCCTCCCTGTTCTCAGCATGGGCTCTAAAATACCCTCTTATAAAATATATTAGATTCCTTAGCATCTTTGGGGATCTCGACTTTGATGTCTGATTTTTCTACAATGCTAGTGTAGGGACAGGCCAGTAAACAGGAAAAATAGTCCCTGCTTCCCCCACAGGGAGGACATCCCAGTTGAGGAGGTTGAGGAACTATGAGATGTGGTAATGAAATAACAAGACTGGCTTTTGAGCAACCATCGTGGAATTTGTTCATTCATTTACTCATATGTTCAACCAACATTTCTCCATCTGCACTGCTGCCACTCTGGCCCCAGCCTCCCCTGCCCCTCACGCAGACCACGGCAAGTGCCTGCTGATGCTACCTCCCTGCAGTCCATTCTTCCCACGGGGACCAGAGGAGGGGCGGTCTGGGTGGGCAGAGAGGGCCAGAGATGGTCAGGTGTCCCAGTCCCAGCGATGGTGGTCGGGGGAGAGCACAGCGGTGCCACCAGCATGGGGGGACGGCAGACGCTTCCCAACAACATGCCAGAAATGGTCTGGGCAGAGGCCAGAACCTTTCCCTTGGTTCGACAGATGCCACCTGAGTGACACAAACAGGCCCTGACTTACTTTCCAGCGGCGTAGACCTCAGCAGTGTCAAAGAGATTAACGCCACTTTCATAGGCGATTGTCATCAGCCGTTCAGCAACCTGCAAGGGGATGAGAGGGTCGGTCAGAAAGGCCAGATGCTTTCCAAACCTGGGAAGCAACTCTGAATCCTCTACTGGTATTGAAGAACACTCAAATCTCACTAACCACTCCGAATTTTTCTCAGTTATCGTGAAGAAAGAGAGGAAAAGAAGGGTTGAAGCATCTGTTCCCTCAGACATAGAGGGGACTAAGGGTTTGCCTTCCAGGCTGGGATTAGGTCTGCCCTCAGAGGCGACGAGGTGCATGGATTTGTGTTTCTTACTCTGCTGGGAAGACCTGGTTTGACAACATTCTCTGTGGCATCATAATCTCTCTGACAAAGGGGGCCATTTGTATTACTGGCGACTCCGTCCCTCAACTCCTTTCTCCAAGCCAATAGGTTTTGGCAGCTGGCTGACTCCTGACCTGAAAGCTTGTGACTTTTCCCCCTGAGGCTTAGACAGAGCTGTGACTGTTGTAAAACTCCTGACACCCACAGTTCAGCAAAATCCCATCACAGAGTGACCACTGAGCCAACACCAAGGAGGGAGTGAGCACTCTGACCCACTGGGACCTGCTGCTTATAGTTCAGCTTGAAAACGGCTCTCAGGGATCCTCGTTCCTAGCATTGTGCCGCTGAACACGGTGTCACGTGTCACAGAAGAGTGGAGGAGAGGTGTGCACAGCAGCTCGAGGGGTGGCCGTAGAAGGGCAGTGACAAACCGCAGGGGAGAGGGCCCATTCTTCCAGTTTGCTGATGGGCTTACTAGCTGTTTGAAAAATTACCCACCTCATCAATAATTGCAATTGCTTTTCCATTATGTTTTTGATGGTAGGCCATCCAAATGCTTCATCAGCATTTCCAAGATAAACTATTTTTCTGTTGCTTTGAAAACTGGCCTACCAAGAAAATTATTAAGCCCGCAAAATGGAGTCCAGGCCCATCCTTTAGCGTAACAGGAGCACAAATGCTATTACTGCTTTTAATTTGCTGCCATTATAGCACTTATCCTAACTTGAGATCAAAACTTAAGATAAGTATCGTTTTCCCTATTATGACTGTCTCATGTTTTAGAAATTGTTGTGCTCATGTTGTATATTAGCCTTGTGTCATGTCACATGGCATACTGGTACGTTAATACTGGGAAATCTCCACTATTAAATCTTATCTGGAGAAAAATTTTAAGATAAGATGAAGAATTCTGGATGGAGACCTGAACAAAATGATGTTTCCCAACCATAGCATTTGAAGACCTGAATGTGGACTAATGGGAAAAAAAAATCACCAACTAAGTCTGAAGACAGGTTTCTGGTCTTGAGTGTCCCACTTACGAGGTAAATAAACGTGAGCAAATCATTTGACCTCTCCATATTTCAGTTTCGTCATCTGCAAAATGGGGATGGTTTTGTTCAGGGATCTCCTCCTCCCCTGAAGCCATGAGGCTTTGGGAGGCTGATCTCCCCTCCCTCAACAGCCCTGCGGGCCCAAGGGGAAGGGGCTCAGGGATGGTCATGTGACATATTCAGGCCAGTGAGATTCGAGGAGAGATTTGCTGAGGATCCCCAGTAAGTTTTTTCCTTGTTTTTCTTTCTGAGTTTCTAGAAGTAACACTCCTTCCCTGGAGTTACTGTTCCGATTGAGGCCTACAAAATTCCTGCAGCTTTCTTACTACCTGCAGGAGAAGTCAATGCACAAAGGGACACGGGGCCAGGAGACTCTGGGAAGCAGAGTGGACATCACCAACTGTGTTTGCGGAAGCTTGCTCTACTTTGAAACTAGTTTAAAAGCCAAAATTATTTTTCTCTTATTGGTTAAATGATTAAAGTTAGATTTATTGTTACCTGCAATTAAAGGCACCCTAACTACCTTACAGATCAGAAAATGTCAATAACACTCTGAAACTTAAGTGTTATAAGATGGTAATATACCCATAATTATTTTACAAAGTTAATATTCATGAGTTACATCTATCTTGGTGTTATGACGAAGCCAAATCATCTTTGAGCGGTACCTTACAAAGTTATTTAGTTTGGCGTTGGAATCCTTTTGATAATATCCCTGCCAAGCAGTAATTCAATATACAGTTGAGCTGTCCCAGCAATGGGGACATCCCCACCTCCCGAGGCAGCGCTGACAGTTACATCACTCAGCACACTGTGGTGTGGCAGTCCCTGGTATTCCATATTTGCACCTGCTTTGTGTTGAGATCATCTGAAGCCAGAGAGAAAGAAGGAACATCTGGGGAGGTGAACTCATTGCTCTTGGCCCACATTTCTGCCACGTGGAAATAGCTGAGCTCCAGGCATGGAGGCACGGGGGTGGCTGGGTCTGGCTGTGCATCCCTTCCTGGGGAAGGGATCTCCCTGCGACCTGGGGAAGCCACAGCTGCTCTCTGGAGGTACAGTAGCTGTTCTTCTGGTCTGCATCTGAGGTGAGCGCCTCTGCAGCCATTCATGACAGCTTCATGGCATAGTTTCTAGTATTGGAATTTTGAAATGATTCATCTCAGAGGTCAGCCCTGCACGTTCTGACCTTGGAGAACTGGGCTCATTGTAGGAGACAGCACGCACTGTGAAGGGGAGAGCAGAAAGTAGGGGAAATGATGCACATATCCTTGGCCCCTCTCCTCAGAAACGGAAGATATTTTTGCCTCTTCCCCCTCTCAGCACCTTCCCAGGCAATGGTAGGTTACATGTGTGCTAGATATGGTAGATTATTAATTGTAGTCCTCTCTCCCTACTTGCCACCTATTTTGTGTTGACTTAAAGTCTGCGGCCTTTGCTCCACTATCTGTTGCTTTGCCATTGTGCCTGCTGCAAACAAACACCCTTACCTGATGCCAATCAGAGAGCCCCACGGTAGACTCTATGATGTGCCACCCAGGCCCTCCTTCAGCACCCAAGAACTTATTCCTCGAGCTGTTGGGAATGCTGCCATCAAACGGCCTCCAGCTGTTAGCTCTTTCTGAAAATTGCACTTGGCTAGAGTCACTAAGCCCAAGGTCAGACCTACTTCCCAGTCAGCCTCTGTCCAATGACTGGTCAACACAAAGGATATACAGGCCCAGTCCTCTTGTCCCAACCTGGGACAACTCTGCAGGGCCATCTCAGATTTAGAGCTCCCCAGGGGCTGCTTGGGCCATTGTTGAGGCTGCCTCATGGGCCGAGGTCTCTGCCTGCTCAGTGCTGCTTCCTGCTCTACCCTGTGTCGACCCTGAGGGCACTTCCTGATAACTGTCCTGCATGCCACCCTCCACCTCAGAGTGCACTTCCCAGGGAACCCCCGAGACAAGCCCTCTAAGGGACCTGTGCCCAACACCGGGAACAGGCCTTTCGACTGACAAGAATACACAGTTAAGACCTCTTCCCCAGATCTGCTAAGTAGCGCGGTGACTTTGGGAGCAGTGGGGAACAGCCTCTCTTCCTCCAAGTGTCTCCTTAGGAATGAAAGCAAGAAGCACCTTTGTAAAGGGCTTGTTCTGGGCCTGGTACCTGGCTAAGCGCTTTACAGGGATCACCTCACTAATCTTAACCACAACCTTGCTGAGTACAGGGTATTGGCATTTTACTGGTCTAGCAACTGCTAGTAAATGTATTATAAATGTTAGTAAATCAGGTTGGTTAGTGGCAGAGTGGGACTGGATTCACTCAGATTCACTCTCCGTGCTTCTTCGTTGGCTTTGCGGTTGGGTTGGGAAGGGCCGGGGGGCTTCGGGGCGTTGCCGGCGGGGGTTTCCTGGCACTCATTGCCTGCACATCTCACTTATGCCATGAAGGTGTTCCTTAAAGGTCATGGTAAAACTATCACTTTGGTAAGCGTTGTTTTGAATGTGTAAATGATGATCTAAGGGAATTTTATGGTAAATATAACTACGACAGCTGCCATTTATTAAGTGTCTGCTACCTACCAGTCAGAGGGCAACATAAATGTCTGACATGCGTGACGTGTTAATACTTTCAACGAACCTTCAAGGTCAGCGTTATCGTCCCATTTTACATAGGAGCAACTGAGGCTGAGAGAGCTTGGATTAATTTGCTCAAGCCAGGGTGACCAACTGCCCAGTCTTCCCAGGACTGAGAGAATTTCTGTGATGTGGGCTGTCCGTGCTAACACTGGGAAAGTCCTGTGCAAAATGGGACCAGTTGGTCACCCTAATTGAAGCTAAAAATAAATAAATACATACATACAACAAAACCATGCGATAACAGGAATAAAATCTTTTCATGAAATGACTAATGTTAATTCCAAACAATTCATTCTCTAACTGTTCAACCTGCACACATAATAGATTGACAGCCTCAAGGGCTCTTAAGAGTCTAAATGTGAAAAATACAAGAGGCGAGGTAAAATCGACAATTATCTTTGAGTCAATCTTAACCATTTCCTGTGATTTAAACACTATCCCTGTAAAATGTAGGGTCCCAGGAAGAGTACTCCCACTGTATAGCTCTCTCTGCATTTCTTTTGCCAGCATAATAGAGGCCAATAGTAACTTACCTCATCTGAAATTTGACCTCCAAACGTCACCCATGTTCCTAGAAAAGAATAAATATTTGTACATTATTCATAATCATTTTTCTAGTATTATGCATAATAAGAAGAAACTCTTTCTTACCTCAGGGATACCTTAATAGAGTGCACAGGTAGTTTACAAAGGTGTCTAAATAGGGGCACATGTTGGACTACTGTCTAGCCTGTGCTCCTTCACTAAGTATTCCAGAAGGGGTCCGTGTCCCTCTGGAGGAAGGGGTGCCTTTTCTTCACTCAAAGCCACCATATAGTCTAATGGCACTCCTGCCCTAAAAGATGCTTTTTTTTCTGCTATGGGAACATGAATGTCAGTGGACAAGGAGGTGGTGTTATCAAGCCTGCTTTGGCTACACACTGTTCTTACTCTCACTTATCTAAGAAGGCACTTGTTCTGAAAGGGAAGGTAAGACCTTGGGTTATGGTTCTTCTTGTCTTTGCCTCCCAAATGGGGCTCTGTTTTGTATTCCTTATTAATGTTTCAAAAGGAATCCTCTCAGATGTTTTGCCAGTGCCCTCTTATAAGACCTAAGAAGTGACACTCACGTACTTTCTGTTATGACCTGGTACTCCAAAATGGAAATCTCCATTGTTTTGGGGTTTGGGAAGGCAAAGGAAGAGAGGAATGACCAGCAGCCCAAAACTTGCATTTGTAAAGCAAGAAGGATGTAGACATGGAGTGGAAACTTTCCATGTCAGTCTCCAATCACCCCATTCATCCATTCCCTCATTTACCCATTTTTTTGAGCCCTAAGTAGGTGCCAGGCAAAGGCATTGTACCCATGTGCAGGGGACAATGAGGTGATTAACCCAGTTCCTGTCTCCCAGGAGCTCACAGTTTACAATACTACTTTATAAATACTACAACTGAGGCAAACACCTGGCAGTAAAGGAGGGAGTGCTCTACCTAGACTGGAGGGAAGTGGAACTCAAGAAAGAATTCCTAGAACAGACGACACCGTGGTCAAGTCTCACAGGAGCTAACTCAATGAAGAAGGAAGGGACAGGCATTCTGGATAGAAGCAAGGAGGCAGGAGACTTCGGAATGTGCTGACCAAGAGCCTGGGCCATAGGCCACATCGTGAAACACGTGATCACAGAGGGAGGGGGGGCAGGAGTGGCGTTTGTGGGGCTATGAAAAGAAACTCTGCTGGAAGCATATTTCACATTTTATAATAACAGTTATAGCTACCATTTGTGGAACATCTTCCAAATCCCAGACAGTACTTTGAGAATTTTTTATATTTTTTTTTATCGCCAATCATTTTGACAAATTTACAAGGCAATTTTATTATCCTTATTTCCAGATGCCAGATGAGGAAGCAAAGATTGACCAGCCCAATAGGTGAAATACCCAGGATTCCCCAAACATGACTGGCTTCAAGAAGGGTATCCTTTCTGCTATACCATACTGCCTCAGGAGAATATTTCCAAATTACTTTTGTCACTTGGATTTCATACTCTATAGAAGTACCTTGGTGGAATTGTACCTTTTCTCTTAGTTCTCAGGTACTAAAACAAAAGTAGGATCTAAATTGTTTTACTGGTGCACTCTACATCCCCAGAGGTTGCAGATTGGCAGCCCAAGGTCGAACTCAGCCTGTGGACTTGTTTTGCTTGACTGGAATGGTGTTGACCCACTTTGTATCTTAGTAAATTTAGAATAAGTTACCAACATTTAAACAATTAAGTGTTTTGATTTCCAGCTTCTCTTGACAGTGAAGGGCTGGTGTCCCCACAAGGTAGATGTCTCCTAACTCTGAGGAGCAGACCTTTTGTGGAAGGACTGTGCCCTCCCCACTGAGTTAAAGCCCCCACATCTTCCTGTTGTGGGGCACTGAAATCAAATAGCTGCTGCTATTTACTACCACATGTTTACTGCTGTTTTTCTAACTGTAAAATGAATAGGAAAATGAACTTGTGCCTTTCTTTAAAAAGAGAATTGAGTATTGCAAGGAAAACATATGAGTGCACCTGTTTTGGTGGATAAAAAGAATACCCAAACAAAGAATGTTTGCACAGAAAAATTACATATTAAGGCACCATAATAAAACCAGCCATGACTGGTATACAGAAAAGAAGGGGTGTTGCAAAACTTAATGAACTGAAGAAATGGCAGCATTTGTTTCTGAATGAGAATAACATGAGGGAGCTGCTGTAAAATACAGTTCTCTATTAAGTGAAAAAATTGCCTGGGCGTCAAAACCTTTTTACAGACAACACATTTATGAAAGAGTCTCTTTTGAATGTGCGTAAATTATGTGTCCAGAGCATGGACAAGCATTTGCAAATGTTAGTCTAACCGGCAACTTTGTAGCTCAGCATGATAAAAATACAATTGAGAACTTTCAGGACAAGTTAAATTATGGGTGGTATTTTCTCTTGCAGCAAATGAGAACACAGACATAAAGAATAGCACACTGTTAACTATATTTATTTTTGGTGCAGTGAGAATTTTGAAGAGGTCAAAGAATGCTTGGACAAGGAGCCCATGAAAGGCAAAGCATCAGGAAATGGCTTACTTTGTGTTATGAAAAGGTCTCAGACCACTGGATGTAGAATACACTGGTCAAAGTCACTTTGTGTTACTGCAGATGGAGCTCTCAGGATGGCTGGGATTGATGTCAGGCCTGTTGAGTGACAGACCAGAGGTGGCACTATTTTGTAGGGACACTGTCCCTAAGTCCATTAATTTCCTCATTCATCAAGAATTGCTTTGGGCAAAAAGCTAAAATGGGACAAGCCGTGGATTCAGTAATTAATACCACAAATTGGCTATTCTTCTATGTCTTCGAGCAAAATCAGGTCAGCGTTTGCTTAATAAATTTGCTGGCTTACTTGTGCTGTGGTGCAGAAGAGAATTTTTTTTAACCATTTATGTCATCAAAAGGAATTGTCCTTTTTCCACTCAGCAGTAAAGACTGGCCCAAAGTCTCGAGCTTCTTGCTTATACTACAACTCATCTATACCTTTGGAATATTTTTCTACAGAGACATTCACAAATGTTTGCACAAATGTCTCATTTGCTTCTCTCAGTCCTGACAAAATTGAGTCTTTGGGAAATTAATTTGCTGAGGAATAATTTGGTCTACTTTCCTACATTGCAATCAGTTTCCAGAAATGAAAATGATAGCCATTCTTTAAACTGTGCTGTTGAAACCCAGATTCTAAAAAAAGTCCTCTGACTTTAAACTATCAAAAGAAACAAGCATTACTTTGCTTACCTTTCTTAATTAATTTTTGATAGTACAAATGAAATATTGATTTGAAGTTATCAAACTATAGTACAAAATGGTACTGAAGACTAACTAGAACAATGTTGAAAGGCAGGATTGTGCACACATCTTGGAGGGGATTGTTTTACAGATAAGAACCATTTACAGTGGTTCCACCCATGTTGGAAGAGCCTATGTTTAGGAGCAGCTCTATTTCAAAATTAATCTGACAAAACTGCCTACCACTCCTGGGTTAAGTATTTCAAGCTACATTCAGTACATCACAGTGAAAAAATGCAGGGCCTGAAAGATGTTTCGGTACAAAAGAAAAGATGTCATGTTTCTGAATCCGAGTCAAAGCAGTAATGAATTATGAAAGAAAATACCGTAATAATTAAATGCATTTATTTTTCAATTAGTTTAAAATTTTAAAATGAAATAATATATGAATGTCACATATATTTACATAAGTTACCTACCTACACCATAACCTAATAAAAATAAAGTGTTCATTTCCATTTCTGTAAGTTTGCTGTTCATACAATCAGCTTACTTTGCTCAGATATACCAAACTCCCTGGCCCTTTCAACACTTGCTACTCATTTGTTTTCTATCTATTTGTTTATAGAGTTTATATCTTTTGCTAGAAAGTAAGCTGTCTGAGGGCCAGGATTTTGCTTTATTCATTGTTCTTATCTCCATGGCCCTAGATAGAAGTGGATCCTTACTACATGGTTGATAAGTATAGGTTAAATTGAATTAAGTTGCCCTTTGAAATGTTATCAACCTTTAAAATATTGGGATAATTTCCAAACATGTTCATTTCTATTTTTAGAAAAATGAATGATGCTCATCAATATTCAGTTCTTCTAGACTCCAGATGATTGAAATGTTTCTCTCCATCCCGGGGTACCCATCTAGTCATGCCCCCTCCTGCCTGGGAAGGTCCGGGAAGGGCCTCCTGCCTGGCTGCAGGGCCTCCATCACGGACAGGGTGTGGCCCAGTGTGCGGAGGGTCTGCTGACCACCCTGAGGAACAGTTGTCACTAACAAACAGGACACATTCCCTTCTGCTGGACAGAGACATACGGCAGCCTTCTAGATGGGGTCTTTACGTCTTTTCTCAAAAGCTGCTTTCTTAGCGAGGCTTATCTGGCCACCCTACTTGAAATTCCAACACCTACCGCTGGATATTTAATATCCTCTATCCGTGCTGTATAAAACTGACTCTCTTTAACAACGTGTCAATTAGCACTATGTATTTTATAGTTTATTTATTTATAAAATTAACATTTATGAATAAACACCATATGTTTAACTTGTTTTTCTCATTATTTTGTTTTTCCTCATAAATGTGCTCCATGAGGGAAAAATAATTACCAGTTTTGCTCACTGTTGTATCCTGATAATTTAAGCATAATACCTGGCACATGGTAGACTCAAATACTTGTTGAATGAAAGAGTGAAGAAGAGTTCACTGTGGCATAATAAATATTACAATCATATTATATATATTCCCTTCCCTCCTGATAGCTATAAAAATATATTCAAATCAACTGCAACATAGAAAAGAAAATTACCAAATCTATAACTTTAAAATGATCAAGTCCAAACGGTGGGACATTCTATGAAGTACTTGATCAGTACTCTTAAAAGTATTAAGGTCATGAAAGACAAGAAAAGACTGAGGAACTGTCACAGATGGGAAGAGATTAAGAAGAAATATAACTAAATGCAATGTTAGATTCTGCATAAGATCCTGGAAGAGAAAAAAGGATAATGAAATTCAAAAA